TCACATCGCTACTGACGTCAATATTTTGTAATTTGTAATGGATCGCTTTTGCATCAGTCGTTTGGTGGGGCTGTAAGGCAATATAATATTTAGGTTCGGTGTGATGTCAGGATATTATGATTAGTCAGTAATATTATGTCTAGGAAGGCTGCAGGATGTTAAACTGAGCCGTAAAAGCATGGAACATTAAGGTTAAATTCCCGTTGGTGGGGGACAGGAAATTTGTATTTAGGTTTATCGAGGTCGCCTTAGTTCGTTTACTGTTGACCTTTCCAGGATGCCACCCACAACATTTGCTGATTCCCGGGTACCTATGTACTGATAGATGAACAGAGGCATCAGGCGAAAGGAAACGCGGTGAGATATATTAAGATTTAATAGGCTGTGGTGACTATATTAAAACTTACTAGAATGCTAGGGTGGCGTATATTAAGTGGCTAGGCTATTGAGGCTTGGTATATTAAGACTTACTTGGAGGGGGGTATAAGACTTACTAGACTGTAGGGGCATGAAATATAAAGACTTTTATATTGTAGCAGTATGAGAGATAAAGATACGTCTGGCTTTTGAGCGAGCAACAGTATGGGCTTCCCGCCCATACGGCAAGGCTGTGTGGGCGGCTCAATTTAAAAATAGCTCGTCGGCAGGGGGAAATTTTTGTTTTTTGTTTATAAAATATTTGCATGGTTATATGATTACGTGATCATTACTGCAACAAATTTACAAGTTAAATGTTATTATTTGTAGTTATCGTAATTGTATTTTAAACATTTCTTGTTATTTGCTAATTTAACATGGAATAATTATTTCATGTTTCATATTTTTTGTTCTTTTCAAAATCTTTCATGTTCTTTCAACTTAATAGCCTCTTTTTATCAGTATTTTAAATATGTAAAAAATCAATATAATTATTGGATTCTTCATTTAATTTAATTAAACATTTCACTTTTTTATTGATCATTAAAACATCATGTTAACGCATTCATGTTTATATCTTTTTTTACATATAAGGCTTGCAGTTTTCCTTAATCTAATTTACAATTTTCATATTATTTTTACCTAAAATAAATACTTTCATTTTATTCTGCATTTCATTACACAGTTCACAACTTATATCATATAGGGCGCCTGACAGCTGAATGGACAGCGCTTCAGATTCGTAGTCCTGAGGTTCCGGGTTCGATCCCCGGTGGAGGCTGAGACAAATGGGCAAAATGTTTCTTTCACCCTGATGCCCCCGTTACCTAGCAGTAAATAGGTACCTGGGATTTAGACAGCTGCTACGGGCTGCTTCCTGGGGGAGTGAAAAAAAAGAGGCTTGGTCGAGGACCGGACCGCGGGAACGCTAAGCCCCGAAATCATCTCAAAATAACCTCAAGATCCCTTGTCTTCAACACTATATTAAACCAATCATTGGATATGAGTGTCTCATGGATATAAGAGTTCTCCTTGTTAAGGATCAATAAACTCACGTGAATATGTCCCATATTTCATGTCTTTCTAAAAAAAAGGAATAGTTTTTCTTTTCTTTTGGCACGCTAGAATGTGGGTATTGTACACGTATTTACCGTTCATCATGAAATTTTAAGGTAGGTTTACTCTGACACATTTTTTAGTGTCAGAGTGGTTGACAAATGGAATGCATTAGGAAGTGATGTGGTGGAGGAAGTGTACATATGATAGAGCCCAGTAGGCTCAGGAACCTGTACACCTATTGATTGACGGTTGAGAGGCGGGACCAAAGAGCCAGAGCTCAACCCCCCCGCAAGCACATCTAGGTGAGTACAACTAGGTGAGTACACACACACACACACACACAGGTCTAACTCTCAGGTACCTATTCACTGCTAGGTAACAGGGGCATAAGGGTAAAAGAAACTCTGCCCATCTGTTTCCGTCGGCGCTGGGAATCGAACTCGGGCCACAGGACTACGTATCCAGCATGCTATCCACTCAGCCACCAGCGTCTGTGTTAATAATGTTCCCTCTTGTGTGTAGGGAACAGCAACACTGATACATGATATAAAAATGAGTGTGGTTTGGTATAAGTACTAGCTGCCTAGCATGGACTAATAGACCTTCTGCAGAGTCCTTTATTCTTATGTTTTTTATCGTCATTTATTGTGAAATTATTAAAATTACCTTACTTTGTCACAGAAGCAAGATCTGCAACAAGCAAACACTGGATCAGTGTCGCGCTGGGAGGAAAGTTTGCTTCTAACTTCTCCTATGTAGGAGGCATGAGGTAAGTTAGTCGTTTCCTGGGTCATAATACCCACCCTTTCCACTAAGGTTTCCTATTGGCTACCTCAGATTAAAAAAAAAAAATCCACTAGGCTGGCGACTTGCCAAATTATGAAAGTTGTCGATGTGTTAGTGTCGAGGAGCAGAGTTGTCCTCAACGAGGGTACTTCAGTGAAACAAAATATTATTATTAACATCTTTATTGACAAAATTAATTACAATTTTGCCTAATCTGAGGATTTTGATAAAGCCTTATTAAAGTGAGGTTAATGCTGGTATTAACCAGGTTTTCGAGCTTAGGCGTGAGAGTGCAGCCTGGTGTTGTTGTTTTAGATTCAGCTATTCAGAACAAGAAGTTCCAGTAGCACGGGCTATGGTGAGCCCGTAAAGTAAATCCTAGCGACAAAACTACTTATTTAAGTCCTCCAGTGTGGCGTGATTTTTATCTTGTTAGCTCTTGGTAGCCTTATTTATTGACACACTCTTATACTTACAATTAAAATTGAGAGTGTGAACTTGTAGAGTCGGTGTTGCTGGTCCCTGGGGGCTTGATGTGTGAGTGTTGGAGGCTTTGGTACATTGTTCTTTGAAATTGAAATTGAAATTGAAATTGAAATAAGTTTATTGAGGTAAAATACACACAAAGGGATGAGGTAGCTCAAGCTATTCTCACCCCGTTCAGTACATCGTGTTAATACATACATCTTGAGATGATTTCGGGGCTTTAGTGTCCCCGCGGCCCGGTCCTCGACCAGGCCTCCACCCCCAGGAAGCAGCCCGTGACAGCTGACTAACACCCAGGTACCTATTTTACTGCTAGGTAACAGGGGCATAGGGTGAAAGAAACTCTGCCCATTGTTTCTCGCCGGCGCCCGGGATCGAACCCAGGACCACAGAATCACAAATCCAGTGTGCTGTCCGCTCGGCCGGCCGGCTCCCTGTGAGTGTACAGGGACTCGACTGTGTACATATACACACATCACAAACAATAAACATTTTACCAAACATTCTGAGAGATAAACATCTACATTTCCTACATTGTTCTTAGTTTTGATGTATTCCTGCCACCTCTGACTAATTTCTATCAGTTTGATATCCCCAGAGTCAAACATAATGTGCAAAAACACTCTATACAAATAAAGGGACCTAGTCTATGGAACTCACTCCCTAATGAATTGAAAAGCTGTCCAACTTTTGCCTCATTCAAAAACAAAAACAAAAAGTACCTAATTTCACCTTCATAGTTTCCTACCTTGTGCTTTAAACTTGCACTGTATCTAGTGCTACCCAATCCCCCCAATATTTCCAATCAACTTTACCATTGTGATCATTGCTGTCGTCTTATATGTGCTATCAATATGCATTAAGGACCTGCCCGAAACGCTGCGTGTACTAGTGGCTTTTCAAGAATGTAAGCACCATGCTATGTATCCTTACAAACACAATGTACCTTCTTGTATATATATAAATAAATAAATAAAACTTAGTTTCCATAACAGCCTCACATTTTCTTCCAAAGCTCACGTATTTTAACCCCAAACTTTCTTATTTTTCCATCTCGCTGAGTTCTTCCCTCAATATAACACCACAGTGTTCTATATCCCTCATTTACCCTCCTTCTTTCCTTCTCTTCTCCCCCTTCCCCTCAAGTAGAGTCCCCCGCCACTCTCCTCATATCCAGTCCACTCCACATTTCCCCTCAAACAGTCTCATTCTTTCCATGTGAGTTGGTGGTGCCCCGGGGGAGGGGGAGTGGGGGAAGGGGCAGCGGAAGTGAGAGTCGTATGTTTACCTTCTGGAATGAGGTAAGGAAGCCGAGATAAGGCAAAACATGTGCTGTTGTATTAGTGTTGTTGGTCTCCGGGGGCTCAAAAACACCTCCCAACTCATGCCCTCATTTCTTCCTGGTCAATAATATGTTTTTATGTGTTTTGATTGGAAGTCTGTATTGTTTTACTGGTGTTATTTGCTATTAATATAACTCATGGTAAGCCTTACACACACACTAGTTTTTCCCCTGCAGTACGACGAGCGTATATAGTTTAACAACCTGATTACTGCCGGGTGAAAAGAGGCGAATAATTAAGGAATGACACGCACTTTACAATCACCTTCTGTGGTGGATTGTTGAATAAATCCCTGAACTATATGTTTAACAAATCTCTCACTCTGTCCATGGAGGACAGAAGAAAATGTATATATGCTGATTAGTATTGTAAATGTCTGGCCACGTCTGTGGTAGAAAATAATAATATTACAAAAAAAAATACTCGGTGGCCAAGACTCGTACCCTAAGACACATAAATTCGCGGGGCGACTATGTTACCACTGCACCACCAGCCACCAGGGACTGTCTTTAATTCCATTCGCTTGACATTCGAGGACCTTGACTTGTTTCTTAACCATTGGGCATCCAACCACCCCCTTGGACTCAGATAAGGGAGGGAGGGGGGTGGGGTGGGTGCGGGGGAGGGTTGTAGTTACAAGTAGACGTTGGGAGAGTTGGTTCCACAGAAAGGAATTCGGACACGGTGATTACCATCCCTATAGTTTGTTGGGGAGGGTGTGGGAAGGGGGTTGGGGGAGGGGGGGCTACAGCAACCCCCCCTCCCCCACGTGCCCTCCCCCCACCCCATTGTTGTGGGTCTGCCTGTTTTCAGTGTGGTAGTTATACTTCTGCGAATTGGCCAGTTTCCTGGTGGTCAACATGACTTAAATTGTTGTTCCTTGCCCAGTGCCGTTTAAATAATGTGGTCTTAGAATGCTGTAGCGTGCAACGGTGTAATCGAAAACAATTTTGTCTTGATATCCTTCTCCGGTGTCTTGATATCCTTCTCCGGTGTCTTGATATCCTTCTCCGGTGTCTTGATATCCTTCTCCGGTGTCTTGATATCCTTCTCCGGTGTCTTGATATACTTCTCCGGTGTCTTGATATACTTCTCCGGTGTCTTGATATACTTCTCCGGTGTCTTGATATCCTTCTCCGGTGTCTTGATATACTTCTCCGGTGTCTTGATATACTTCTCCGGTGTCTTGATATACTTCTCCGGTGTCTTGATATCCTTCTCCGGTGTCTTGATATCCTTCTCCGGTGTCTTGATATCCTTCTCCGGTGTCTTGATATCCTTCTCCGGTGTCTTGATATACTTCTCCGGTGTCTTGATATACTTCTCCGGTGTCTTGATATCCTTCTCCGGTGTCTTGATATCCTTCTCTGGTGTCTTGATATCCTTCTCCGGTGTCTTGATATCCTTCTCCGGTGTCTTGATATCCTTCTCCGGTGTCTTGATATCCTTCTCCGGTGTCTTGATATCCTTCTCCGGTGTCTTGATATCCTTCTCCGGTGTCTTGATATCCTTCTCCGGTGTCTTGATATCCTTCTCCGGTGTCTTGATATACTTCTCCGGTGTCTTGATATCCTTCTCCGGTGTCTTGATATACCTCTCCGGTGTCTTGATATCCTTCTCCGGTGTCTTGATATCCTTCTCCGGTGTCTTGATATACTTCTCCGGTGTCTTGATATACTTCTCCGGTGTCTTGATATCCTTCTCGGTGTCTTGATATCCTTCTCCGGTGTCTTGATATACTTCTCCGGTGTCTTGATATCCTTCTCCGGTGTCTTGATATCCTTCTCCGGTGTCTTGATATCCTTCTCCGGTGTCTTGATATCCTTCTCCGGTGTCTTGATATCCTTCTCCGGTGTCTTGATATCCTTCTCCGGTGTCTTGATATCCTTCTCCGGTGTCTTGATATCCTTCTCCGGTGTCTTGATATCCTTCTCCGGTGTCTTGATATACTTCTCCGGTGTCTTGATATCCTTCTCTGGTGTCTTGATATCCTTCTCCGGTGTCTTGATATCCTTTTCCGGTGTCTTGATATCCTTCTCCGGTGTCTTGATATCCTTCTCCGGTGTCTTGATATCCTTCTCCGGTGTCTTGATATCCTTCTCCGGTGTCTTGATATCCTTCTCCGGTGTCTTGATATCCTTCTCCGGTGTCTTGATATCCTTCTCCGGTGTCTTGATATACTTCTCCGGTGTCTTGATATCCTTCTCCGGTGTCTTGATATACCTCTCCGGTGTCTTGATATCCTTCTCCGGTGTCTTGATATCCTTCTCCGGTGTCTTGATATCCTTCTCCGGTGTCTTGATATACTTCTCCGGTGTCTTGATATACTTCTCCGGTGTCTTGATATCCTTCTCCGGTGTCTTGATATACTTCTCCGGTGTCTTGATATACTTCTCCGGTGTCTTGATATCCTTCTCCGGTGTCTTGATATCCTTCTCCGGTGTCTTGATATCCTTCTCCGGTGTCTTGATATCCTTCTCCGGTGTCTTGATATCCTTCTCCGGTGTCTTGATATACTTCTCCGGTGTCGTGATATCCTTCTCCGGTGTCTTGATATCCTTCTCCGGTGTCTTGATATACTTCTCCGGTGTCTTGATATCCTTCTCCGGTGTCTTGATATCCTTCTCCGGTGTCTTGATATCCTTCTCCGGTGTCTTGATATACTTCTCCGGTGTCTTGATATACTTCTCCGGTGTCGTGATATCCTTCTCCGGTGTCGTGATATCCTTCTCCGGTGTCGTGATACCCTTCTCCGGTGTCTTGATATCCTACCTGCGTGGTCCTAACTGCCTCCTGGTGACTTCAGTGTCAACTGAGGACCCTTGATAGCTGTAGAGAGTCCTGTGAATTCTGCTGGACTGGTGTCGGGGGGAGGCGGGATGGGCACCTCCACCCCCCCCCCCCATTGTTTGATTGTGTTTTGTTCTTGTTATATTGGTGTTATTGTTGTTGTTATATTGGTGTTATTGTTGTTGTTATATTGGTGTTATTGTTCTTGTTATATTGGTGTTATTGTTCTTGTTATATTGGTGTTATTGTTTGTTGTTTATATTGGTGTTATTGTTCTTGTTATATTGGTGTTATTGTTCTTGTTTTATTGGTGTTATTGTTCTTGTTTTATTGGTGTTATTGTTCTTGTTATATTGGTGTTATTGTTCTTGTTATATTGGTGTTATTGTTCTTGTTATATTGGTGTTATTGTTCTTGTTATATTGGTGTTATTGTTCTTGTTATATTGGTGTTATTGTTCTTGTTATATTGGTGTTATTGTTCTTGTTATATTGGTGTTATTGTTCTTGTTATATTGGTGTTATTGTTCTTGTTATATTGGTGTTATTGTTCTTGTTATATTGGTGTTATTGTTCTTGTTATATTGGTGTTATTGTTCTTGTTATATTGGTGTTATTGTTCTTGTTATATTGGTGTTATTGTTCTTGTTATATTGGTGTATTGTTCTTGTTATATTGGTGTTATTGTTCTTGTTATATTGGTGTTATTGTTCTTGTTATATTGGTGTTATTGTTCTTGTTTTATTGGTGTTATTGTTCTTGTTTATATTGGTGTTATTGTTCTTGTTATATTGTTCTTGTGTTATTGTTCTTGTTATATTGGTGTTATTGTTTATTGTTCTTGTTATATTGGTGTTATTGTTCTTGTTATATTGGTGTTATTGTTCTTGTTATATTGGTGTTATTGTTCTTGTTATATTGGTGTTATTGTTCTTGTTATATTGGTGTTATTGTTCTTGTTATATTGGTGTTATTGTTCTTGTTATATTGGTGTTATTGTTCTTGTTATATTGGTGTTATTGTTCTTGTTATATTGGTGTTATTGTTCTTGTTATATTGGTGTTATTGTTCTTGTTATATTGGTGTTATTGTTCTTGTTATATTGGTGTTATTGTTCTTGTTATATTGGTGTTATTGTTCTTGTTATATTGGTGTTATTGTTCTTGTTATATTGGTGTTATTGTTCTTGTTATATTGGTGTTATTGTTCTTGTTTTATATTGGTGTTATTGTTCTTGTTATATTGGTGTTATTGTTCTTGTTATATTGGTGTTATTGTTCTTGTTATTGTTCTTGTTATATTGGTGTTATTGTTCTTGTTATATTGGTGTTATTGTTCTTGTTATATTGGTGTTATTGTTCTTGTTTTATTGGTGTTATTGTTCTTGTTATATTGGTGTTATTGTTCTTGTTATATTGGTGTTATTGTTCTTGTTTTATTGGTGTTATTGGTCTTGTTATATTGGTGTTATTGTTCTTGTTTTATTGGTGTTATTGTTCTTGTTTTATTGGTGTTATTGTTCTTGTTATATTGGTGTTATTGTTCTTGTTTTATTGGTGTTATTGTTCTTGTTTTATTGGTGTTATTGTTCTTGTTATATTGGTGTTATTGTTCTTGTTTTATTGGTGTTATTGTTCTTGTTTTATTGGTGTTATTGTTCTTGTTATATTGGTGTTATTGTTCTTGTTATATGTGGTGTTATTGTTCTTGTTTATTGGTGTTATTGTTCTTGTTTTATAGGTGTTATTGTTCTTGTTATATTGGTGTTATTGTTCTTGTTTTATGGTGTTATTGTTCTTGTTTTATTGGTGTTATTGTTCTTGTTTTATTGGTGTTATTGTTCTGTTATATTGGTGTTATTGTTCTTGTTATATTGGTGTTATTGTTCTTGTTATATTGGTGTTATTGTTCTTGTTATATTGGTGTTATTGTTCTTGTTTTATTGGTGTTATTGTTCTTGTTTTATTGGTGTTATTGTTCTTGTTATATTGGTGTTATTGTTCTTGTTATATTGGTGTTATTGTTCTTGTTATATTGGTGTTATTGTTCTTGTTTTATTGGTGTTATTGGTGTTATTGTTCTTGTTATATTGGTGTTATTGTTCTTGTTATATTGGTGTTATTGTTCTTGTTATATTGGTGTTATTGTTCTTGTTATATTGGTGTTATTGTTCTTGTTATATTGGTGTTATTGTTCTTGTTATATTGGTGTTATTGTTCTTGTTATATTGGTGTTATTGTTCTTGTTATATTGGTGTTATTGTTCTTGTTATATTGGTGTTATTGTTCTTGTTTTATTGGTGTTATTGTTCTTGTTATATTGGTGTTATTGTTCTTGTTATATTGGTGTTATTGTTCTTGTTATATTGGTGTTATTGTTCTTGTTATATTGGTGTTATTGTTCTTGTTATATTGGTGTTATTGTTCTTGTTATATTGGTGTTATTGTTCTTGTTATATTGGTGTTATTGTTCTTGTTATATTGGTGTTATTGTTCTTGTTTTATTGGTGTTATTGGTGTGTTATTGTTCTTGTTATATTGGTGTTATTGTTCTTGTTATATTGGTGTTATTGTTCTTGTTATATTGGTTATTGTTCTTGTTATATTGGTGTTATTGTTCTTGTTATATTGGTGTTATTGTTCTTGTTATATTGGTGTTATTGTTCTTGTTATATTGGTGTTATTGTTCTTGTTATATTGGTGTTATTGTTCTTGTTTTATTGGTGTTATTGTTCTTGTTATATTGGTGTTATTGTTCTTGTTATATTGGTGTTATTGTTCTTGTTATATTGGTGTTATTGTTCTTGTTATATTGGTGTTATTGTTCTTGTTATATTGGTGTTATTGTTCTTGTTTTGTTATATTGGTGTTATTGTTCTTGTTATATTGGTGTTATTGTTCTTGTTATATATTGGTGTTATTGTTCTTGTTATATTGGTGTTATTGTTCTTGTTATATTGGTGTTATTGTTCTTGTTATATTGGTGTTATTGTTCTTGTTATATTGGTGTTATTGTTCTTGTTATATTGGTGTTATTGTTCTTGTTATATTGGTGTTATTGTTCTTGTTATATTGGTGTTATTGTTCTTGTTATATTGGTGTTATTGTTCTTGTTATATTGGTGTTATTGTTCTTGTTATATTGGTGTTATTGTTCTTGTTATATTGGTGTTATTGTTCTTGTTATATTGGTGTTATTGTTCTTGTTATATTGGTGTTATTGTTCTTGTTATATTGGTGTTATTGTTCTTGTTATATTGGTGTTATTGTTCTTGTTATATTGGTGTTATTGTTCTTGTTATATTGGTGTTATTGTTCTTGTTATATTGGTGTTATTGTTCTTGTTATATTGGTGTTATTGTTCTTGTTATATTGGTGTTATTGTTCTTGTTATATTGGTGTTATTGTTCTTGTTATATTGGTGTTATTGTTCTTGTTATATTGGTGTTATTGTTCTTGTTATATTGGTGTTATTGTTCTTGTTATATTGGTGTTATTGTTCTTGTTATATTGGTGTTATATTGTTCTTGTTATATTGGTGTTATTGTTCTTGTTATATTGGTGTTATTGTTCTTGTTATATTGGTGTTATTGTTCTTGTTATATTGGTGTTATTGTTCTTGTTATATTGGTGTTATTGTTCTTGTTATATTGGTGTTATTGTTGTTAGTTTTATTGGTGTTATTGTTCTTGTTATATTGGTTATTGTTCTTGTTATATTGGTGTTATTGTTCTTGTGTATTGGTGTTATTGTTCTTGTTATATTGGTGTTATTGTTCTGTTTTATTGGTGTTGTTCTGTTATATTGGTGTTATTGTTCTTGTTATATTGGTGTTATTGTTCTTGTTTGTATTGGTGTTATTGTTCTTGTTTTATTGGTGTTATTGTTGTGTTATATTGGTGTTATTGTTCTTGTTATATTGGTGTTATGGTTGCGTGTTTATATTGGTGTTATTGTTCTTGTTTTATTGGTGTTATTGTTCTGGTTATATTGGTGTTATTGTTTTTGTTATATTGGTGTATATATTGTTCTTGTTATATTGGTGTTATTGTTTATTGTTTTATTGGTGTTATTGTTGTTGTTATATTGGTGTTATTGTTCTTGTTATATTGGTGTTATTGTTCTTGTTATATTGGTGTTATTGTTCTTGTTATATTGGTGTTATTGTTCTTGTTATATTGGTGTTATTGTTCTTGTTCTATTGTTATATTGGGTGGTTATATTGGTATTATGGTGCTGGTTATATTGGTGTTATTGTTCGTTGTTATATTGGTGTTATTGTTCTTGTTATATTGGTGTTATTGTTCTTGTTATATTGGTGTTATTGTTCTTGTTATATTGGTGTTATTGGTGTTGTTAGTGTAGCTTTGTGTTATCGTTATATTGGTGTTATTGTTCTTGTTATATTGGTGTTATTGTTCTTGTTATATTGGTGTTATTGTTCTTGTTATATTGGGGGTATTGTTCTTGTTAGGTCAGTTCTCAATGAAAGCCACAGAAAAAACACTTGTAAAAACAGAGCAAGGTTCCCCGGCGTGTCCAGAATCTCATTCGGCTGACGATCATGATTGCTTAGGGAAGGCGTCTCTGTTATCATCCTTGGCCAGGGATATCAACTCTGTTATCATCCTTGGCCAGGGATATCAACTCTGTTATCATCCTTGGCCAGGGATATCAACTCTGTTATCATCCTTGGCCAGGGATATCAACTCTGTTATCATCCTTGGCCAGGGATATCAACTCTGTTATCATCCTTGGCCAGGGATATCAACTCTGTTATCATCCTTGGCCAGGGATATCAACTCTGTTATCATCCTTGGCCAGGGATATCAACTCTGTTATCATCCTTGGCCAGGGATATCAACTCTGTTATCATCTCTGGCCTGTTATAATCCCTGGCCTGTTATAATCCGTGACTTGTTATCATCCCTGGCCTGTTATAATCCGTGACTTGTTATCATCCCTGGCCTGTTATAATCCCTGGCCTGTTATAATCCCTGGCCTGTTATAATCCCTGGCCTGTTATAATCCCTGGCCTGTTATAATCCCTGGCCTGTTATAATCCCTGGCCTGTTATAATCCGTAACCTGTTATAATCCCTGGCCTGTTATAATCCCTGGCCTGTTATAATCCCTGGCCTGTTATAATCCGTAACCTGTTATAATCCCTGGCCTGTTATAATCCCTGGCCTGTTATAATCCCTGGCCTGTTATAATCCCTGGCCTGTTATAATCCGTAACCTGTTATAATCCCTGGCCTGTTATAATCCCTGGCCTGTTATAATCCCTGGCCTGTTATAATCCCTAACCTGTTATAATCCCTAGCCTGTTATAATCCCTGGCCTGTTATAATCCCTGGCCTGTTATAATCCCTGGCCTGTTATAATCCCTGGCCTGTTATAATCCCTGGCCTGTTATAATCCCTGGCCTGTTATAATCCGTAACCTGTTATAATCCCTGGCCTGTTATAATCCCTGGCCTGTTATAATCCGTAACCTGTTATAATCCCTGGCCTGTTATAATCCCTGGCCTGTTATAATCCCTGGCCTGTTATAATCCGTAACCTGTTATAATCCCTAGCCTGTTATAATCCCTGGCCTGTTATAATCCCTGGCCTGTTATAATCCCTGGCCTGTTATAATCCCTGGCCTGTTATAATCCCTGGCCTGTTATAATCCCTGGCCTGTTATAATCCCTGGCCTGTTATAATCCCTGGCCTGTTATAATCCCTGGCCTGTTATCATAATCCCTGGCCTGTTATAATCCCTGGCCTGTTATAATCCCTGGCCTGTTATAATCCCTGGCCTGTTATAATCCCTGGCCTGTTATAATCCCTGGCCTGTTATAATCCCTGGCCTGTTATAATCCCTGGCCTGTTATAATCCCTGGCCTGTTATAATCCCTGGCCTGTTATAATCCCTGGCCTGTTATAATCCCTGGCCTGTTATAATCCCTGGCCTGTTATAATCCCTGGCCTGTTATAATCCCTGGCCTGTTATAATCCCTGGCCTGTTATAATCCCTGGCCTGTTATAATCCCTGGCCTGTTATAATCCCTGGCCTGTTATAATCCCTGGCCTGTTATCCCCTGGCCTGTTATAATCCCTGGCCTGTTATAATCCGTATCCCTGGCCTGTTATAATCCCTGGCCTGTTATAATCCCTGGCCTGTTATAATCCCTGGCCTGTTATAATCCCTGGCCTGTTATAATCCCTGGCCTGTTATAATCCGTAACCTGTTATAATCCCTGGCCTGTTATAATCCCTGGCCTGTTATCATCCCTGGCCTGTTATCATCCCTGGCCTGTTATAATCCGTGACCTGTTATCATCCCTGGCCGGGGGATATCAACGCGCACCTCTCGCAGCATCATCCACCTGGCTGGCTAACAGCATCATCCACCAAGGTGGCTAACAGCATCATCCACCAAGCTGGCTAACAGCATCATCCACCAAGCTAGCTAACAGCATCATCCACCAGGCTGGCTAACAGCATCATCCACCAAGCTGGCTAACAGCATCATCCACCAAGCTAGCTAACAGCATCATCCACCAGGCTGGCTAACAGCATCATCCACCAAGCTGGCTAACAGCATCATCCACCAAGCTGGCTAACAGCATCATCCACCAAGCTAGCTAACAGCATCATCCACCAGGCTGGCTAACAGCATCATCCACCTGGCTGGCTAACAGCATCATCCACCTGGCTGGCTAACAGCATCATGCACCTGGCTGGCTAACAGCATCATCCACCAAGCTGGCTAACAGCATCATCCACCTGGCTGGCTAACAGCATCATCCACCAAGCTAGCTAACAGCATCATCCACCAAGCTGGCTAACAGCATCATCCACCAAGGTGGCTAACAGCATCATCCACCAAGGTGGCTAACAGCATCATCCACCAAGTTGGCTAACAGCATCATCCACCAAGCTGGCTAACAGCATCATCCACCTGGCTGGCTAACAGCATCATCCACCTGGCTGGCTAACAGCATCATCCACCAAGCTGGCTAACAGCATCATCCACCAAGGTGGCTAACAGCATCATCCACCAAGGTGGCTAACAGCATCATCCACCAAGTTGGCTAACAGCATCATCCACCAAGCTGGCTAACAGCATCATCCACCTGGCTGGCTAACAGCATCATCCACCAAGCTGGCTAACAGCATCATCCACCAGGCTGGCTAACAGCATCATCCACCAAGTTGGCTAACAGCATCATCCACCAAGCTAGCTAACAGCATCATCCACCAAGCTAGCTAACAGCATCATCCACCAAGGTGGCTAACAGCATCATCCACCAAGTTGGCTAACAGCATCATCCACCAAGCTGGCTAACAGCATCATCCACCAGGCTGGCTAACAGCATCATCCACCAAGCTGGCTAACAGCATCATCCACCAGGCTGGCTAACAGTATCATCCACCAAGCTAGCTAACAGCATCATCCACCAGGCTGGCTAACAGCATCATCCACCAAGCTAGCTAACAGCATCATCCACCAAGCTGGCTAACAGCATCATCCACCAAGCTGGCTAACAGCATCATCCACCAAGCTGGCTAACAGCATCATCCACCAAGCTGGCTAACAGCATCATCCACCAAGCTGGCTAACAGCATCATCCACCAAGCTGGCTAACAGCATCATCCACCAAGGTGGCTAACAGCATCATCCACCAAGCTGGCTAACAGCATCATCCACCAAGCTAGCTAACAGCATCATCCACCAAGCTGGCTAACAGCATCATCCGCCAAGCTGGCTAACAGCATCATCCACCAAGCTGGCTAACAGCATCATCCACCAAGCTGGCTAACAGCATCATCCACCAAGCTAGCTAACAGCATCATCCACCAAGGTGGCTAACAGCATCATCCACCAAGCTGGCTAACAGCATCATCCACCAAGCTGGCTAACAGCATCATCCACCAGGCTGGCTAACAGCATCATCCACCAAGCTGGCTAACAGCATCATCCACCAAGCTGGCTAACAGCATCATCCACCAAGCTGGCTAACAGCATCATCCACCAAGCTGGCTAACAGCATCATCCACCAAGCTGGCTAACAGCATCATCCACCAAGGTGGCTAACAGCATCATCCACCAAGCTGGCTAACAGCATCATCCACCAAGGTGGCTAACAGCATCATCCACCAAGCTGGCTAACAGCATCATCCACCAAGGTGGCTAACAGCATACTCGAATAGTAACCATGAATGCCAGACTCACTACGGTGCGAGAAACAGAGCGAGGCTGACTCTGAGGAGATGATGTGTGTTTACACTCCCTCACCTTATTGGAGAGATAAGAGTGTCTTATGCACGCAAGCACTCTATTGTGTGTGTGTGTGTGTGTGTGTTTGTGCGTGTATTCACCTAGTTGTACTCACCTAGTTGTGCTTGCGGGGGTTGAACTCTGGGTCTTTGGTCCCCCCTCTCAACCGTCAATCAACTGGTATACAGATTCCTGAGCCTATTGGGCTCTATCATATCTACATTTGAAACTGTGTATGGAGTCAGCCTCCACCACATCACTGCCTAATGCATTCCATCCGCTAACTACTCTGACACTGAAAAAGTTCCTTCTAACGTCTCTGTGGCTCATGTGGGTACTCAGTTTCCACCAGTGTCCCCATGTTCGCGTCCCACCAGTGTTGAATAGTTTATCCTTGTTTACCCGGTCGATTCCTCTGAGGATTTTGTAGGTTGTGATCATGTCTCCCCTTACTCTTCTGTCTTCCAGTGTCGTAAGGTGCATTTCCCGCAATGTGTGTGTGTGTGTGTGTGTGTGTGTGTGTGTGTGTGTGTGTGTGTGTGTGTGTGTGTGTGTGTGTGTGTGTGTGTGTGTGTGTGTGTGTGCGTGTGTGTGTGTGTGTGTACTCACCTAGTTGTGTTTGCGGGGGTTGAGCTCTGGCTCTTTGGTCCCGCCTCTCAACCGTCAATCAACAGGTGTACAGATTCCTGAGCCTATCGGGCTCTGTCATATCTACACTTGAAACTGTGTATGGAGTCAGCCTCCACCACATCACTTCCTAATGCATTCCATTTGTCAGCCACTCTGACACTAAAAAAGTTCTTTCTAATATCTCTGTGGCTCATTTGGGCACTCAGTTTCCACCTGTGTCCCCTTGTGCGTGTTCCCCTTGTGTTAAATAGACTGTCTTTATCTACCCTATCAATCCCCTTCAGAATCTTGAATGTGGTGATCATGTCCCCCCTAACTCTTCTGTCTTCCAGCGAAGTGAGGTTTAATTCCAGTAGTCTCTCCTCGTAGCTCATACCTCTCAGCTCGGGTACTAGTCTGGTGGCAAACCTTTGAACCTTTTCCAGTTTAGTCTTATCCTTGACTAGATATGGACTCCATGCTGGTGTGTGTGTGTGTGTGTGTGTGTGTGTGTGTGTGTGTGTGTGTGTGTGTGTGTGTGTGTGTGTGTGTATGTGTGTGTGTGTGTGTGTGTGTGTGTGTGTGTGTGTGTGTGTGTGTGTGTGTGTGTGTGTGTGTGTGTGTGTGTGTGTGTGTGTGTAGAAAAGCAGGGTCCAAGAATATTTGCTCTTGGACCCCACTGTCCTATCCGCCGGCTGTCTAGGTCAATGACTCCTGACCTAACATACAAATACTCTTAAAATTATAAATAGTCTTTGTTTCTGCAACCTGCTCTTCTGTGTGTTTGTGTGTGTGTGTGTGTGAGAGAGAGAGAGAGAGAGAGAGAGAGAGAGAGAGAGAGAGAGAGAGAGAGAGAGAGAGAGAGAGAGAGAGAGAGAGAGAGAGAGAGAGAGAGAGAGAGAGAGAGAGAGAGAGAGAGTTGTGTATGGCTCGTTTCTTGTGCACCCTTTACTCATCCAATTAATGAATACAGATGACACAAAATGTCTTAATGAGACCTTATATTCATTAATAGTGTCCCTGCTGTAATTTCGACACAATTAACTCAGGCCGCCCATTTTTTTGGGGAAAACAGAACATATCGTTGAGCTTGACATATCGAGTATATCATCGTTTTTGAGTAAGTTTGGCGTCTGACCCCTGTGAGCCGTTTTTAGACGACGTATCCGGTTTCGTTCCTGACAGCTAGACGCTATTACGGGTGTGGATTCTAGTTGCAAGTGATTCGAGGTTTGTTTACAGCCGTGCACTTTCTGTTTTCGTCTATTTAGGTGCAATATCATCTATCCAGACTAAATTGTTTGTGGTGAAGGATCTGAAGATCTTCCAGGCAGGTTGTGGTGAAGGATCTGAAGATCTTCCAGGCAGGTTGTGGTGAAGGATCTGAAGATCTTCCAGGCAGGTTGTGGTGAAGGATCTGAAGATCTTCCAGGCAGGTTGTGGTGAAGGATCTGAAGATCTTCCAGGCAGGTTGTGGTGAAGGATCTGAAGATCTTCCAGGCAAGTTGTGAAGGAGGATCTGAAGATCTTCCAAGCAAGTTGAAGAGGATCTGAAGATCTTCCAGGCAGGTTGTGAAGAAGGATCTGAAGATCTTCCAGGCATGTTGTGAAGGAGGATCTGAAGATCTTCCAAGCAAGTTGTGAAGGAGGATCTGAAGATCTTCCAGGCAGGTTGTGAAGAAGGATCTGAAGATCTTCCAGGCAGGTTGTGAAGGAGGATCTGAAGATCTTCCAGGCAGGTTGTGAAGGATCTGAAGATCTTCCAGGCAGGTTGTGAAGGAGGATCTGAAGATCTTCCAGGCAGGTTGTGAAGAAGGATCTGAAGATCTTCCAGGCAGGTTGTGAAGGAGGATCTGAAGATCTTCCAGGCAGGTTGTGAAGGAGGATCTGAAGATCTTCCAAGCAAGTTGTGAAGGAGGATCTGAAGATCTTCCAAGCAAGTTGTGAAGGAGGATCTGAAGATCTTCCAAGCAAGTTGTGAAGGAGGATCTGAAGATCTTCCAGGCAGGTTGTGAAGGAGGATCTGAAGATCTTCCAGGCAGGTTGTGAAGGAGGATCTGAAGATCTTCCAGGCAGGTTGTGAAGGAGGATCTGAAGATCTTCCAGGCAGGTTGTGAAGGAGGATCTGAAGATCTTCCAGGCAGGTTGTGAAGGAGGATCTGAAGATCTTCCAGGCAGGTTGTGAAGGAGGATCTGAAGATCTTCCAAGCAAGTTGTGAAGGAGGATCTGAAGATCTTCCAAGCAGGTTGTGAAGGAGGATCTGAAGATCTTCCAGGCAAGTTGTGAAGGAGGATCTGAAGATCTTCCAGGCAGGTTGTGAAGGAGGATCTGAAGATCTTCCAGGCAAGTTGTGAAGGAGGATCTGAAGATCTTCCAGGTAGGTTGTGAAGGAGGATCTGAAGATCTTCCAGTGTGAAGGAGGATCTGAAGATCTTCCAAGCAAGTTGTGAAGGAGGATCTGAAGATCTTCCAGGCAGGTTGTGAAGGAGGATCTGAAGATCTTCCAGGCAAGTTGTGAAGGAGGATCTGAAGATCTTCCAGGCAAGTTGTGAAGGAGGATCTGAAGATCTTCCAGGCAGGTTCTCAAGGATGATCCTTATGTTGATTCTCATAGAGCAATGAAACAATGTTTACACCAGCTGCAAACATTGACCTGCCAACTGCAATAGGTTCAAAAACCTTCCGATAGTGTCATTGAACACCAACGCAGAGTGTCCATGTCTTTGACCTTCTTCCCTGTGGTTTGTAATGTGATCAGTCAAGTTGCAACACCACAACACCTGCCGCATGGTACAACACTAACTGATGACACACAACACCTGCCGCATGGTACAACACAACTGATGACCACAACACCTGCCGCATGGTACAACACTAACTGATGACACACAACACCTGCCGCATGGTACAACACTAACTGATGACACTGCCGCATGGTACAACACTAACTGATGACACACAACACCTGCCGCATGGTACAACACTAACTGATGACACACAACACCTGCCGCATGGTACAACACTAACTGATGACACACAACACCTGCCGCATGGTACAACACTAACTGATGACACACAACACCTGCCGCATGGTACAACACTAACTGATGACACACAACACCTGTCTAACCACCTGAAGCATCACAAATGACCAAAGTTTTCAGTATCTTGCATTACTAATTTTTCTCAGGTGTTTTAATACTTGAAAATATGAAACTATATATATATATATATATATATATATATATATATATATATATATATATATATATATATATATATATATATATATATATATATATATATATATATTATATATATATATATGTATATATATATATATATATATATATATATATATATATATATATATATATATATATATATATATATATATACCAGTATAGAGGTTTCTTGTTTCCTGTTGGTGACTTAAGAGGTCCGTACATGAGGCTGGTCTTATCCACTAAACTCCCGCCAGACCTGGACTTACGACCCGGTCTCCCCTGGCCTTCCCGGCACACCTGTGTTCGCGAGGCATGTGTTGTTACGTCACACCGCGTGTAGCGACGTCACACCGCGTGTAGCGACGTCACACCGCGTGTAGCTACGTCACACCGCGTGTAGCGACGTCACACCGCGTGTAGCGACGTCACACCGCGTGTAGCGACGTCACACCGCGTGTAGCGACGTCACACCGCGTGTAGCGACGTCACACCCCGTGTAGCGACGTCACACCGCGTTTACCTACGTCACACCGCGTTTACCTACGTCACACCCCGTGTAGCTACGTCACACACCGCGTGTAGTCACACACCCGTGTAGCCTCACACCGCGTGTAGCGACTCACCGTCACGTCACCCATGTAGCTACGTGTAGCTACGTCACACCCCCGTGTAGCTACGCCACACCCCGTGGAGCGTGTACGACGTCACACCGCATGTAGCTACGTCACACCGCGTGTAGCTACGCCACACCCCGTGTAGCTACGTGTAGCTACGCCACACCCCGTGTAGCTACGTCACACCCCGTGTAGCTACGTCACACCGCGTGTAGCTACGCCACACCCCGTGTAGCTACGTCACACCGCGTGTAGCTACGCCACACCCCGTGTAGCTACGCCACACCCCGTGTAGCTACGCCACACCCCGTGTAGCTATGCCACACCGCATGTAGCTACGCCACACCCCGTGTAGCTACGCCACACCGCATGTAGCTACGCCACACCCCGTGTAGCTACGTCACACCGCGGACCAGTGACACAAGATGTTCAGTAATAATCCCATCAATGTGTGCTGAATACTGCTTTTTGA